GGAGGGTTGACGAAAGAGGGGGAGGCCTTCAACGAGATGGATTGACACGGTGGCTGCGATGATGGGCTCAAGTATAGCAGGGATTGTGGGGCTGGCGTGGGATGGGGCAGTGTTTCGTTCTGCTGTGCATGGGGTTGCTATGAGTCGGAAATGACTTGACGGCACTTAACAACAACAACAATCAATATGCTGTCTACAAGAGACACACCTCAGAGACAAAGACAAAAATAGACTAAAATTCAAAGGTTGGGAAAAGATATATCAAGCAAATAGCAACTGTAAAAGAGCAGGAGTGGTAATATTAATTTCTGATCAAATTGACTTTAAGACAAAAACTACCATATGAGACAAGGAAGGATATTATATAATGATTAAAGGAATAACTGAACAAGAAGATATAACCATAATTAATATCTATGCACCCGATGAAAGAGCCCCAAAATACATAAATCAGACTTTAAAAGAGTTGAAAAGGCAAATAGATGACTCCACAGTCATAGTCGGAGACTTTTAATACACCATTTTCAATGAAAGATAAAACAACTGGAAAGAAACTCAACAAAGATGCAAAAGAGCTAAACAATACAATCCACCAGCTTGACCTTATAGACATCTACAGAGCACTTCCCCCAACAACAGCACAATATACATTCTTTTCCAGTGCACATGGAACATTTTCCATGATAGACCCTATGTTAAGCCACAAAGCAAGCCTTAAAAAATTTAAAAACATTGGAATACTGCAAAGCATCTTCTCAGATCACAGTGCTATCAAATTAGAAATCAACAATAGGAAGACCAAAGGAAAAAGAGTAAACACATGGAAACTGAACAACCCCCTCCTTAAGAAAGACTGGGTGAAAGAAGAAATAAAAATTTAATTCAAAAATTCCTTGAATCAAACAAGAATGAAAACAAAACTGCTCAAGGGGTAAGGAGGCCACAGCTCCTGACCTCCTCTAATCCCATAAGAGGAAGACAGAATCACCATCAGCAGCCCAAGGCCTATTCTTGTGAGGCTAAACATGCTGCATCCCTCCAGCCCGTTCATCGACCCTGACATCAACCGTTCCTCCCACAGCACACACCACCTTTCTGCTCTGGGTTCGATAATTCACTGCAGTGGCCACACAACTCACAGATTATAGGGTTTATTAGGGAAGCACCAGGCTACAATACAAGTTCCAGAACAACATTCAGTCTCTCTCGGCCCGCCATCTCTCAGTCAATGGTCTCGCTTAGTCGCTCTTCCAGCAGTGTCTCTCGGTGTCTCTCTCTTAGCAATTCATGTCTCTCAATGTCTCTTTCTCAGCAGCACGTGGCTCTCAGGAGCGCGTGGCTCTCAGCAGCACGTCCTTCTCAGCCAGCAGTCAGAGAGACTCCTTCTGCCTCTAGGAGGCCTCTTTTTGAGCCTGGCAGAGTAGCCAAACTAACCAATCATAACATTAGGATTCTAAGCACCTGAGAGAGCAAACTTCCCAGATAATTACTTTGTGCTGCTCCCAACAGAAATACCTCAGGTAGATAGATGATTTTGACAATCAGAAGCTACTCAGTTTCTCACAGCAAATTCCACCATGGAGTTTACAAAGACTTATGGCTAGGAAAGCCATACCAGGTAATTTACTACACCACAACAACATACCAAATCTTTAGGACACAGCAAAAGCAGTGATCAGAGGCCAATTTATAGCAATAAAAGCACACATCAAAAAAGAAGAAAGAGCCAAAATCAACACTTTAAAC